ACCGAAAATGAATCAATTGAAAATGAAGTAAGACAATTACATACTTCTTCCAATATACCTAGGTATGGCGTACAAATAAAACGAATAACTTAAAATACAGTATACGTTTCAAAATATAAATTTTACGTATAAATATCAATAATATCTGTGGTGAACATAAACTTAATAATTAATGCATTGATATTGGTATATTTATAATGTATTATTGATTTGACTGAATATTGATATAAATGTATTTGTATTGACAATAGCTGTAAAAAAAAAAAAAATTGTGAAATCTAGAAGTTTCACATCATTATTCAAAATAATTTATTTAAATGATACAACAAATATATTATTTATAGTCTCTTATAGTCTATAGGGTTATAAATATAAATAAAATTATAAATATTTATAAATACTAAAAATGTGTTATAGGCTATAATCATCAAATTTTAAAAGTACAGATTAATCTAAAATCATAAATTAATAATTGTTGTTAATTGCAAACAACACTATTTTAGATGCCGAATGAAACAAAGACCGAAGAGACGAAGAACGAACTTCCACCGCCATTGTTTAAATAATAAATTCATATATTTATACAATAAAAACTCTGTTTTTCTATGCATGATGAGTAATGAATGTTTAAATGTAAATTAAAATGAACAAATTCGGGGGTAATAATTTCGAAAATGAGAAGGGTGCTAATCGCACCCAAGTCACCCCCCAAATTGCGCTTACGCCGCCCTGATTCCGCACGAGCGGTGCTTCGAGGGCTCTCGAGTACATCGAATTTCGTTCGCTTCACGCTTCTATCGCGGCCGCGTGCACATTAATACGATCTCGAATGTATTCGGTCGCCTGAAAACGGATGGTGTGAACGAATCGTTCGGTCGGGAAAAACATAATCGAGCAGATTACGCGTGGACGCAGGACGGCGGTACCGAGACACTCAAATGGATGTAGTAGACGGTGAATTTTGTCTCCGCGGAATAATAATTAAGCTCTCGCCGAACGGTAGTCGGCGAGTTGCGATGACGCACACACGGGGGTGGTGCCAGGGGACGCTTAGCACCCCCAAGTTCTAAAATATCGTTCGAAGAGGATTATTTTGCGTTCCCGAGAACGAGTTCGCATGGGCAATGGGCCGCTAACGCCACGGAAGTGAAACGTACGGTACGTTGGTATACGACCAAAATAGCGAAACAATAACCGCGAATGTAAGAATCGCGAATTAATAATGACGAAAATAGAAACAGCAAAATTTAAAAAAGAGCGAAAATATACAATTAGACATTGAGAATGATAATAATTTTGAAAAAACAACTAGGCATTTAGTGATAAATTATATGCTATACCATTTACAAATTCATTAGTATTATAATTTGTAAACAACAAATGAAATCTTTTAGCACAGTCTTTGAACTTTTTTTTTATCTCTGGTTGTCCTTCAGAATTATACTGTTCTCGTTTTAATTGTTCTGAATTTCGAATTTTTTTCCATTACATCAATAAATTTCCATGTACAATGTATAATAGGGTGGCTTCCCTCTAAAGTATATTTATTATATTATTAAAAATACTAATTGTTATAGTTTTATAAGTTTTGAAACATACCCGAGTATTATATTAAAACTTATAGTATTCGAAATAGAAATTACAAAAAACCGCGGTTTTGGTATTATGCATGATCGTTTAATTTAAAATTCGCAATTTTTATTTTCGCTACTATCAATTCGCGATTGATTATTTCGCTTTTTCAGCCTAGAACCATGTACGTTATACACGTATGCGTGCATTAAATGCAACACCAACGATACAAAATAAAGCACACGAAATATGCAAGACGTATCGAACAATTTTCGCGCATCGATTTCGCAATAGAAAACAGTTGGTACAAGCATTTTAGAACGTAATAAAACGATTGAAAAACAGTACACGTTAGCGATAATTGCATTTAATTAGATCAAGCGAATTTGTAAAAGAGGATCGGAGATCTTCCGTGGCGGTCGAGTGCTTCTTCTACCACGGAAACATATACGTTTTTTTTTTTTTTTTTTTTTAATCGTTACCCGTACTCGCATTATATTTTTGTGCTGGTCTTTTCCACGGAGTCGTGTGGGATAGACCTGATTGATCGTTTATTTGGTTCGCTTTTATTAAAAATATGCATTTTTTCTCGTACACCTTTCTGATTATTATCTAATGTTAATCTTTAGTACAGAAGATTGACGGTCGGAGAATTGGTCTACCGACGAAATACCTGTTTTGCGCGTCAAGTTCAAAGCACACGACAAAGTGGCGGCCAACGTTCGATTCCACGATTCCGAGATTAAGAGTTATGAGTCACAACGACGGTCGAGGTATTGTTTTTAGTATTCTGTAGCCGTATTAATATTGAATTTTTTTCACCGTCTAGATCGTTGATAAATTAACAGTGTTGTTCATCAATACTATTCGGTTGCGATGCAGAAGACCGCGAAGTTTATGATTTAATGGTGGAACTCAAACATTTTGCGCCATTTATATGTAGATGGTGTTGGGGGGGGGGGCTTTTCCTCTGCGGATCGCCTTGGGACGAATAGTCTGAGCGCTCCCAAGTTTTAGACTGAACGTGCGGAATCGGAATCAACAATTTTTGTGTTCGCGTTAACTATTACCTCGATACGAATACGAGCTATAGGTAATCGCAACAGTTTTGCGTGCATCGCTTTACAATCGCATATCGTTTTCACGGCTATATACAATCTACCATCGACGGTTTACGGGCAAATCATATGAATTATTGAAATTACGTTTGTTCGTCGCTCTTCGCAATCGTACGCGGTAACGTGTCTTTTCAAGATACAATACATTTTGTTCGAAATATGCATAAACTGTGTACGTCATGCATCGAAAATGATAAGAAAAAAAAAGAAAAACTAAAAAGTTAAAGTTTATCGAGCCGCGTTTTATGAACATCTAAAAAAATCTATGTTATTGCAGTTGCATTCACGCTGATTCAACTATAATTGTTCCATACTTAGCGGCTGATCCGGACGCGCAAAAAAAAAATAAATAAATAAATGAACATCAATGAAAGATCAAAAAACACTCTATATGTTATGATGTTCATTAGAAAACCATATGGAACGATAAATGTTAAACGATGAATCACTAGTCATTGGCTTAGCCCTGGTGACTAAGATGATTTTAAAATTGTTACGTGAATAGCATTTCAGGTACAAATTAGTTAAAAAAAAAACAATTAAAATTTTAAGTGTGATTTATTGTGAAATAACAAGTGTAATATAATATAATCAACACACATCATAATATTAAATAATTAATTATATATAAATATTTATATTTATTTATTGAACTTATAATTTTAATGATCTAAATCAATTATGTATGAAAATAATAATGATTATAATAATAATAATAATAATAATAATAATGGAAAAGTTAAATACATACGTAGATCAAATTAAACGCAGTATTCGTGCATAAGTTTTTCAATCAATTACTTGTAATGCTCTTTGACAATTATATTATATGCTGATAATAGGATATAGTAAAAGAATAATAAGGGCTAAGTAAATTTCAAATTAATACATCTTAACCGAATTAATACGCCAAAACGTATTTAAAATCATTGTTAAAATGGATTATTATGGTAAATTAATTTAAAGACAATTTATGAATAGACCTAAGTATAGTAATTATACATTTAAAATTATTAGATTAATCGCATGAAACTTTTTAATTATGTGCATATTACATTATTATTTTTTTTTTTTATGAATAACGTTTATGTGATAATCATAACACAGTTTGAAATTCATCATTATTTAAAAAAAAGTTAACATATAACAAAAATTGTTCTTATCATAAAACAATCATAAAAAAATTGCGTATTAACAATAAAAAAGAAAAAAATATTAAATTTTTATATATTAATTATTTTCCCACACAAAATTGTTTACTTGTTAGTTAATCAATTGAACAAAGAAAAATAGATAGAAATTATCTAAATTATAGTAACTATCAAACAATTGTAACTTAAAACTATTTATATGGTGAATGACTAATGAATATTATATTTTTACTTTTCGGTTAATTTCAGAAATAATTGATCTTTAACAAATTCAGATAGATAAAATTATCATCATTTTACAATCATTTCTTTAATGAAAAATATAATCTTTACACGTAAATTATTTACTTCCATATTAAATAAAATAAAAGTGACAAAAACATATTCAATAACATACTACCGAAAATACAACAAAAAAAAAAGGAAGAGCAGTTGTAAAACTGATACACCAACATTTAAGTTAAGCAAAATATCAAGTAATTAATTAATTGTTGGCTATATAATAATATGATAAACTGTCTATTTAAGTTTTTTCTATAATTCTACAATAACTACCTTATAAACGAAACAAATTAAAACATTTTCAAAATAATAAAAAATTATAAAGACAATATTCACATATTTAAATTTGTCAATAGATTTTTTTTTTTTTTACTTTAATGGATACAAATGAACAAATGTTGATGGTCTTTTAAAAAGCAATGGTCATCATCGAAGCTTTATTAATTATATATATATGATATTTCCGAGAATAGTCGATCTGTACTAATTATTAAAATTATATAATCGAATCAGTTTAACAACTTGCATTGAGAAAACATACAATGACTAATAATCATACCTAAATTACAAATATAAATATTTAAAAAGCTAAAAAAAAAAAAAAAATGACAAATGAGATCTATAATACAATCTACTCAATAAGAATAAAAACATCATTATTTATGATATTTTTAATGAAATAAAAATTGCAACTATAATAATTATATAAAAAGTATAACATATCTAAAGAAACTAAGAACTAAGGAACTAAGAAGAATATGGGAAATTAACTCTTATTTAAACTGGTAATATGATGTCCAATAATACTATGAAAATTAATTTGATAATAGTTAATAATATTTCAGTTTATACTTAAAAAAAAATAATGATTACTATTGTGGAAAAATAATAACAATAATAACTAGGCATAAAATAACAAGTAAATACTTAGAATTCAACATAAATTTTTATAAGCTACACATTATGTGTAAGCAACAACAATCTTATAACCACAAAAGTTGTATTACTGTTTGTGAAATACTTTTGACCTAACAGTTCCATACATAATAAATGAAATGTTTTTTTTCATTTTAAAACATACAAATTGTATGTAAATTTAAATTACAAATGTGGATTCAAGACCATCGGAAAAAAATCGAACACTGCGGTTACTCGCCCAATGTAACTTGATTTGTCGCTGTTGACTGGAACGTGACGTGTCGTGTATCTGAGTACTATACGATTTAGTACACTTGGTTTGGCTATTTCCTAGACCAAACATGCCGGTAGATGTTTGCCAAAATGACAATTTGTTCTCTGTAGCACTATACGAGACAAGGAATTTTCCATCTGGAGAAAATGCACAAGCACAGATGGCTGCGGTATGAGCATTGATTGTCTGTGGGACGAAAAAAAATAAACTGTTAATAATATATACAACACCAGTAAGGTAATGAACAAATGTTAAACCTGGCATTTAGAAGATCTCAATTCATACAAGGCGATTGTACCATTTTTGGTACCCACTGCTATACGTCTAGATGTTGAACAATGTGTTACTTGACTGAACTTATTTATGGCAGGCGAAACTTCTGACAGAGGGCGAGTTTTCAACTGTGTTGGATCTACGCAATGCAATATTATATCCATTACCTGAAAAAACAGTTTATGAATACACAATTTAATACTATATAATAACAATCGAAATACTATTATAGAAATTTTACTTATTTGCAACATACCTCTACCAATAATTCTGTAATTTCAACATGCATTTTGTCGATCAAATGTTCCACAATGGATAAAATTTCTGGTTTCGCTCTATGTAAAACCGAATTACTTATAGCCATATTCATAGCTTGGGTATTTTGTTGCATACTGTTATAGCGAGCCACCTAATAAAAACATGTTCAAACGTCATTTATAATAATTGATATCATTAGTTTTGTTAAATAAAATACTATTAACCTCTCTGGCTATAGTTGTTATGAATACTGCAGGGCGAACGTTTGCAATTGATATCAGCGCATGTCGAGCAGTTCTGTATGAATCAGCAGCTGGTGTTAAAGGTAACCCATAAGACATGCTAAACAAAAAATTAATACTTTAAATATATGAACAGAACAAATTCTGAAAATATACAATGTAATAACTCTTATCCTTTATTTTATAAAAATAAATATTTGTAAAACGTCCTGTTTATAAGAAATTACCTGGGAACCAGTTTATCATTGTCACAACATAGTTCTAGTATACCTAACAACACTTTGCTGACATCGAAATACGGTTCCCATACAGCAAAACCACGACCAATCAGATCAACTGCAGCTCTTCGTAATGCCATATGAGTGGGCAATCTGGAGGATGATGGAGATAATAGTAATTGAGTTAAAGCCAAACCTAAAAAAAAAAGTTTATAAAACAACTATATTAAAATAATCATGATCAAAAAAAATAAATTACTTGTCAATCTGGATAAGTTATTATTTCCAATGCCGAAACCTTCAACGATTGAACTCTTTCTTCTCACAGATGATCCAGATTGTGAACGACTTGATGTACTGGCATTATCTGACCCATTAACTTCTTGACCAAATTCAGATCCTATAACACCCATCAAGATCACAGCAGTTGTTTGTTTGCGACGTAATTCACTTAAAGATGACGGTTTTCTTAAACATAAATCTAAAAGAAGAAAAAATTGTAAATAACTTTGACCAACAGAATATATTGTAATAAATGTATAAGAAATAATTTTTACCTTCTTCTTCGTCATCTTCATCATCATCTTGAATGTTGGCTGATGATTCAACATTTTCCTGTAAATAAATAAAATTATTTCTCAGTTTCATAGTAATATATTAATTTTAATACATCAAAACATTCAAAATTAAAATGATTGTTTAGAAATAATAATGGTTCAGGATAAGAGATAACTTAAAAAATGAATTAATGTGTACAATAAAGCACATATTTATATGCAGTGATAAGATTTTAAAATTGTTAAAAAATTCCTGCTTGGTGTCTTAACTTAAGCAGTTGTTATAAAATCAAATTCCACAATTTCTATTTTTAACAATGTTAATATAATGTAACATAATATTTGAATTATTATACACAAAAATAAAATAATTAAATCTAGGATACAAAATGATTCTAAAAATATTATTTAAATTTTATCTAGAAAAAACTAAGATTGTATAATAAACACATAATATTTTTTAAGTTTCTGCTTAGCTAAGAAAAATCATACAAACATTTTGAATAAAAAATAATAAAAAAGTTAAATAAAAATTATTAGTTGTTAACATATATTTATAAGGAGGATTTTTCATGGTTCAAGTTGTTAAAGTATAAAACAGGAAATATCAAGACTCACCTTTTATATACACGTTTAAAAATCTTTTAAATTGAAAATATCGGTGTTCAAATCTTAAAAATTGTTTATATATTTGTTAGAGGCATTAAATAAATAATACTTACATTAGAATTTAGGTTGGTTAAATTGTTAGAGCTTACAACAGCAGGTTTCATGCTATTGTTTGAGTTGCTTACTGGTAAATACTGAACCCAGAATTCAACTAATGTTTTACGTCCTTTGGGGCCGATTCGTTCCAATTCAGATAACAACAATTCTTGAGCTGCAGTGCGTACCTATATTTTAACATTTATATTATATATATTTCTATTTATTTTATATTTATTATTATTTATTTATTGTTTATTTGTATTTGTTTTATATTTTTTTTATACTTCTAACATTTATGATAAATTTAGATTGAACTAGAGAAAAAAATGTAAATTTTGTAATTATTGTATATAGAACAAAAACAAATTGGAATACAAAATAATATCATACAAAACTTTAAAAAATTAAATATTTTAAACTATTTTTTAAATTTATTTTGATAAATAATTTATCACTATTATTACCTCTAAACAATGATGTTGCCAACGATGTGCCAACATTTCAATCTGAATACGTTTATAACTCTTGGAACCATGATTAACAACTTTTTCAGGTAACGACTTACAATGTAATGTCTTCAACTGAGCCCATCCTTGTTTAATAAGAGTAACTTGTGAAGTACTCTGTTCACCATTTCCTTCTTCTGAATGATTTTTCACAGATAGTTGCCTTAAAATTGAGATTTATAAGATTTAAAATGTGCTATATGCTAATTTTACATATTAATTTAATATAACTTGAAAATTAAATAAATATACATTTTTTTTTTTTTTTTTTTTAATATGCTAATGGAGTTACCATTTAATTATAATACCTTGAGAATGTATTTTCAAGGAAACATGGAGCACTCATAGACATAAGTGTATTAGCTATGGCAACTATGGCAAGTAAGTGTTGACTAGTTACTGTAGTGCTAACTTCCCAATGAGTTCTAGCAGTAAACAGTCGGGTCAGTAATTCCAATCGAACCATCTCTGGAGGTAAGTCCATAAGAGGACCTTTACTAGATTTTACAAAATTATCTTCAAGATCAATATTGCTTTGCCAAGTAGGCAAAAGTAAACTCATAAAACCTAAAAAATGATTGATGTTAAAAAAAAAAAATAACTTTGTATATAACATAAGAATACGCACCTCCTTTGGAAATAACACCAAACGACACAGGAATCATTGGACGTAATAATCCCAGTTTTGTTTCACAAATTTTATCTATTTCAAAATCTAAACCCCATGCATACAATAGAGACATTAACAACTGAGCGATCTCCATTGTCAAATTTGCTCCACATACTTTACGGCACACCACTCCACCAAGATTAAGACCTGTATATATCAATGATAAAATACATTATTTTAATAAAATAAAACTTTTATTTTTAGTAAGCGTGAATTAATTACAAAATAAAATATTTTTTGCTGTTTAATATTAACACAAAAGTTAAAGGACCATAAAATACTCAAAATTGACTTGTATTTAAAAAATCACAAAATATCTCACTAAAAAAATGACACCAATATTTTTCTGCGTTGAATAGTTTTTGAGTTATGACGTCTTTAAATAACGCGTGACGTCATAAGAGTCTATTCGCGACGGCGAGGTTACATGTACGTGTTACTAATCAAATATGTTCTCACTATTCTTAGCAAATTGATTCCTATATTGTGTAATTCGTAAATATTGTATAATAAACGGTATCAGCTAAATAAAATAATACCCCGTTAACTGCAAAATAAGAAGGAATAAACAAATAAATAATAGTACTAAGTACTGTACTACTGTCAACTGACATCGAATTTACTAACAATGGGACTAAAAAAAAAAAAAAAATAGAAATAAAATAAAATATAGTTCTACGCAATATTATTTTGATATTGGTTGGTACTTGCCACGATTACGAGTATATTTAATAATAAAACAAAATAATGAGATTGAAAAAATGTCAAAGAGCTACGTAAATATAAATAAAATTGTTTTCACTAATAAAATAATAATAACAGCTATTTTATAACCGATAATTAGTCTATTTTTCTCGAATACACGGCCGCCACCGCGGTGCGCCGTAGAGTTGGATCTTATGACGTCTCGCGTGATTTTTAAAACGCTGTAACTTTAGAGCGAATCACGGTTGACAATTTATTTTTACACAAATTCGTAATAATAATAATAGACAATAAAAAAAATATATAATGTATTATTATTAATAAGTATTATACTAAACTAAATAACAAATAATACCTTTATCGTTAGATTTGCTATCAAAACCGTCTATTACAGATTGAAGTTTTGTTAGTATATTTTCTGAACCATCTTTCCTTTTAGGTAAAATTCCTATAAAAAATATGAGATGAAGAATATATTAAAAACCAGCCATAACACCACAAAATAAATTACTAAATACTACACTACTAGTATTGTTAGTTTCTAAAGAAGGTTAAATACCAGTAAAATGTAAGTGCTTTATGTAATTAGTAACAATAATTAATATGCAAGTCATACTGTTAAATGGTAATAATAAATTGTTATGACTAATTATATTTCTACCATAACTACACATGAATTTTAAATGCATAAATTGTTTAGTTAGTTTTAAATACATATTTATTTATGAATTTATATTTTATTTATGAATGTCTACCAGCAAAAATACTAAGAATAAGAATATTTTGACAAATCACTTTCCCAATAGTAAATTAATTTGTATCTCATATGAATGTCCATTCAATAGAAGTTATATTGTATGACTATACAGGAAATAAACTTTAAATTTATTTCTATACAGGTATATATAATATGATATATGAACAATATTGAATTTCCATTTTTAATATAAATTAATATGAAAAATAAATTTTAAGATATTGTAAAATAAACACATTAGCATGCATTATTTACCATGTTTATCTTTTTCTTTCAAAATGCGTTCCATATTGTCAGCTTTGTCTTTTACTTTTCCAAAAAAATCTTATCCAAAGGTAGGCATAAAATATTTCAATATTATTAAAAAATAATAAATACATATAAAAAAATGGTACTTTGAGGAAAAAATGATTGAATAAATTATTATTCCAAGGAACATTAGTAAAAGTTAATTCATTATCAAAAGAAATACTTTATTAAGATCTATTTGACATCTCCATGAAAATAATTATGAAATACCATGTTATAATTAATTATTGAGAGTTTTGAAAATTTATACCTGAAATTTTTTTATGAGCATCAGTTGATACAGACTGTGTTAATGCTGTTATTTTCTGATGTTCCGTTGCGTTTATCAGACCTTGTGCTTCCATAGTTTTTGGTGACATTAACCCATACTCCTCACTCAACAATTGCACTGAAGTTAGAGAATTATTAAAATAAAATTATAACTTAATTAAATTCATCCTTATAAATATTTAGACTCACCAACTAAAGCTTCAATATCAAAACACAATATATGGCATTCAGGATCATTAGGATTTGTTCGGAGTCCTTGTACCATTAAAGGATAAGCTCTGGATTTACTATGATCAATGCCATCGGCATGGGACGAATTATGCATTTGTTGTAACTGGTGAATTCCTCGCTACACATAGTAATTTAAAATTTAATATAGCATTAACACATATTACACTTAAGTAATATTTTACCTGTGTTGCATGTTTAATGGCACTGATATTACGGTGGCGTAGTCCCCTAAAAAAATGTACAGCAGGATTCGCCAGACCCGAGTCCACAGAACTAGATATAGTTGTATTTTCATCACATGCATATAGAACTTCTTCCCCACTAATTCCATGTAACACTCGATCCAAATGACCTGAATAATATCAAACTCTCAATTAAAATTCAATTAAAAATTTCTAACAAAATAATTTCTAATAAATACCAGTTTCCATTTGCCATACATATACAGTGGCATCGGAACAGCCTACAATCATAAAATCATCTAATGGTCGCCACTTTATTGTAACAACAGGAAATAAATGTCTAGATGCTAATACTACACATTTACGTTCAGATAAACTTAACAAAGTAACAGAGTGATCACTTGCTACTGAACAAATACATTTCAGTATTCTAGGCTGTAAATGAAGTACAATTAATTAATTCCAAAAGTTTTAAAAATAAATTAATAAAAGTAAACCAACATTAGCACATGTATTAGGTGGAACAAGAAGTTGTGTAATTTCGCCGGCGTGAACACAAAATCTATGTAACAACGTTCCCGCATACAAGTCCCATAAGCATATAGCAAAGTCTACTCCTCCAGACAATAAATGTGATTTATCATATCTTGAATGCATATGATGAGGATATAGTAAACAATTCACCCGGCCATTATGACCCACCAATATCTGATGCGGTGGCCAATCTAAAAAGAAAATTTAGTAATTTAATATTTTCTATATAATATACTTTTAATTTTATTCTAAATTTAAGTTTAAGCCATTGATGGTATAAATTAAAATTTTTATATAATATCATAATACAAATATTTTGAAAATATTTAATTACATCAAAATTTAATAACTAAAACTAAAAAAAATTCATACAAAAGATACATCAAAAATAACTAAAATAATTAATTATTTCAACAATTTTAATCTTATCAATTATAATTTACATTTATAAAGTTCATAAATAAATTGGCATAAATTTTAATGACAAGAAATCACAAAATTATTTACCTTTATAGTGTTGATGATTTCCATGTAATAATTGCAACATCACTGTTTGAGTGGCTGGAATGATAACAATAGATCCATCTTGACGGCCAATAACTAATCGACTCTGACCTGCCAGGTATATACTAGCGGTCAACTTAATATTTGGAACATTTTCGCAGTCCTAAAATTGTTAATATAAAATAATTTAAATTATGGATAAAATGTAATAAATGTAGTGACTTATATTTAAAAAATATTTATCTAAATACTGAATAAATAATAAAATATTGAAATTAAATGTACCAGTTGGTTGAGAATTCCAACAGGATTGGGTTTCATAGATTCCCATGCTTTAGACAAACTTGTACACACAAAAGGAGAAAGGCCTATATAATAGTAATCAAATTATATTAACTGAATAATACAAAAATGATGATTAAATTTGAACACAAACCAGCTAATTTTTTATGAGAATCATTTTCTTTTATAACTGATAGCTGAGCAGGAGAAAGTTCTGGAATTTTCCATATATTTATAGCTCCTTCTGAATCACCTCTTATCAATATTTTCCCATGTTGAAGAGACTCATAAAATCGAATAGCTGGAGAGCAGTAAAGGTGCTAAAAATATCATAAAATAATATTATTAAGTTTAATAAATTTGTAAATAGAATAAAAAAATTATACAATTAAAAATTATTACTGTATTTGAAGACACAGATAGTAAACTGTATAGATAGGGTACATCACCATCTTCAGCTTGTTTGTGGAAATTTTTGTTTTCAACAATACTACTACAAGAGATAAAAATAAAACAATATTAATATCAAAACTAAAAAAATCTAAAATACTATTATACAATAATTACTTTGCGGGGAGTTTGTATAAATAACCTTTTCCATCATCTGTCCAAATAAGAACTCGATCAGGTGCTAAAAATTCACCACCAAGCCAACGTACACCTCGGGGTGCGTAGACTGTACATAAAGCTGAGAAATCACCAGCATCATATATCTACAGGTAGTGCGAGTAAAATATAACACATTTATTTTTTGGTTATGTTATGAGTTGTTACATAAAATAAAAAATATAGTAACCTGCCAACATTTTGAACAGACAATCAACACTGTTCTTTGGTGTTGAGAACAGCAAGCCATAGTCAAAGCATTCAAACATCTGATTTGTTTACTTTCATTTTCATATACTGGATTATCTGTAGGTCCATAATCTCTTTGTTCTAACGTCCATACTTTTACTGTTCCAGTTGTAGTCAATCCCAACACTACATCATCTATATTTAAACAAGAAAATAATAAAGTTAGTTTGATATTTATTTAATTTATATCAAGTTTAATTACCTTTACAAGTATGAGGTTTCAATACATAAAGAGCACTTATCCAATCAGGATTAACACGTGATGATAGGGAAAAAATAATTTCCAATGTAAATGGATTCATTATAATAACTTCAGCATAATACCCATTACAAAATAAACGGACGTCCTCAGTTCCGACCATGCGGTATGCCTGTAAAAATAATTGATAAAAAAAAAAATAATAATAAATTTTAAAAGTTCATACTAACCTGAATATTTGTGTGAATATATATTGATTTAGTAACTTCTCTACACTTTCCATCTACTATATCCCAAGTACTCATTTCACTAAAATATAATTTTCATAAATTAAAATAATTTGTATTTTAATATTTTCAAAAATAATCAATTATAAAAGTAATTATTAAATAATAGTATAATTAAAATAAATAACGAATAGAACTAACAATTATTATCTCCATTATTAATTTTCATATGAGAATAGAAAAAAGACAAACATACTAAAAGGAGAAAATTCTATATCAATTAGGCAAAGTAGACAGTTTAATATTTTTTTTTTTTAATAGTGTAACAATCTACATCGAATATTTTGAATAAAAATGTATTAAATAATAATATAAATAAAATTATTATGTTTTTATTTCTTACCCATTTTCCGAAGAACTAACAAAAAAAGCATTGTCAGCAACAATACTAGCATGAGCTAAACACAAAACTGGAGCTGTATGACCTACTAGCAAACATCTAGGAGTCATCTATAAATCATAAAAAATTATGTTCATAGGATTGTTATATAGTTAAATACATTACATTTGCACTAAATTATTTATTCAAACCTTTAAAGTTTCAGGAGATACAGCCCAAAGGCATATTTGTCCATCATAACATCCAGTTACTAGTGTTCGCTGATCAGGCGATAAATAAACACATGAAATACAATGTGTCAAAGGTGTTTTACCCCATAAAACAATTGGAACTACTAAACTAGTCCCTCCAACCATTTTGTTATTGTTCTTTTAATATATTAAATAGTTCTCTGAAAATAAATTAAGGAGAAAAAAATTACAAAAGTAATTGATTTTATTTTTTTTTATAATTCTTTTCAACAATTTTTTAAAATCTGATAAATTTATTTTAACTACTCATGTGAAATATATTTAATTACATTTAAAAACCAAATAAATTATTATTAAATGCTTAATAGTGTAATGCAACCGTAGCTGGGAGCCGTAAGGCAAAAATTTATATTGTATATTACACTACCATATTTTTATTTTTAGATTGACAATACAGTAGAAGCTGCTTATTAGGAACACGGATAATTGATAAAATTGCGTTATTGAAACAAAATATCTAGAGACAGATCTGCCGTACATTAAAACATTGTAAAACAATTGGATTAATGAAATAACTCATCGGTTATTTGAAACAATAAGAGCAAAAGTCGCTAAAAAATACCAATTATTAGGCGATAACTAATGTATTATAATTGCTAATGGTTGGATTTATGTTTTCTTAAAATCCTTAAAATATGATGTTTTTATGCTGTTTAAAAAATGCAATATATTCACTAAATGTTCTTTAAAAATACCAAATATATGATGTTTTATGTCTATCAAAATACAAATAATCTTTCAATATTCTGTAAAAAAAAAAATTCAACTTTTAGTAATTACAATGTACTTTCTTTTATGTCATTACGATAGAAACCAGAAGAAATCTCGGAAAACTGTATGAAGATTGAATCGATATGGAATTACAGCTCGATTTAACAAAAGTTCCAACAGAAGAAGAAATCTATAATGAAGTTAAGAATCATCAAACAATTTAACATTACGTCAAATGCTAAAAATTTTCATTTTGATAAAATAAAAAATTTAATACAGATAATACATTTTAAGAATAAATAAAAAGCTATATTATTAAAATATTTATATTTCATTACAATTACAACAGTTCAAAAGTTGAAACATTTAGATATAGATATTTATATTTGTGCTCCAAATTTATAGTAAACTTTGTGTATATAACAAATCCAATTTCTCATAATTTTCAAGTTTTAGAATTTTGTATGCATATGTTATTAGATTTATGAACGAAATATTAATACTTATTATATTATTTTTATAATTAAACTATCTTATAAAATTAAATTTGTATTTATCTACTGAAATATTTGGTTTTTTTTTAGTAACAATGAATTTTTAATCATGTTAAATATTAATTATTTTGATGAAATATTTACTAATATACATAATGATCGTTATTTTTGGTTACTCAACATTTTTCATTCATATTTTATACTTTTAGCATGTACATTTTAAGGCATTACAGTATCCAATATTAAGCAGCCTTATCAATATAAGATATATTAGAAGTTCACACATACGCTTATAAATAAAATATTTTAACCAGTAGTATAATCAATACCTAATCATATTTTCTAAGTTTAAGAACTTAAGAGACACAATAAGAGACAAAAAAAAATATCTAGCTTGGAATTTTCAATAAATAAACAATGCTTATAAAATAATTTACATTAACATAAACACGGTAATATGATTATCTTATAATTAATAGGTGTGTACCTAATTAAAAAAAAATAAAACAAAATATATTAAGCAACATGTATGGTTTCTATAAATGTATACATTTATTATTGGTTTGATACTGTAAAATAAAAAAATACATTTAAAAATATATGATAGTGAAAGTACGTACTTATATTAAATATGGATGAGAAAAGAAGTAGCTTGTTTTAATGATAATAAAATTTAGTAATGCTTACAAACTGAATATATATGATAAATCAACATATTGTGTTATAAATTATAATTCTTGAGTAGGTACCGTACATACATAATCATGTTTATCTCTTTAACGTTGTAGTTCTAAAGACTTGTTTATTTTAGAAATGTTCAAAAAAAGATACATGTGCATAGTGCATATTATAATCAATGACATGGAATAGCAATGACTGCGAACGTACCATGGCCGTTGTGGCGCTTGAAATCAATCGACAATCATATGAAAGTGGAAAAACAAGGGTAAGCTGCCGAAGCTTATTGTACACACATTAATTTTGACCGTAGACACCAATACCGGTTTGATGGTTTCTAATCGTACACACAATGACCTGACCTGCTCGAATTAATTAGTACGCTAACTACCGGTGGTCGATGCTATTCGCCGTCACTCTCGTCATCCAGATCACTGGTGGCGGGCGAGGGCGGGCGCCAAGTCATTAAGGATGAGAGGGACGGAGTGAGAGATAAAAGAAAGCGATCGAGACGGGCCCCGCTAAATCGAACGCAATAAATTACCTCGCACGACGGATGATGATGATGATGGCGAATAAATTGAACGTTAATTGCGACGATGTGTTCCACTGGCACTCGGTTGAACGTGGGACAACGGCCACGACGATGTCGGTTGTGCGCGCATAGTAATAATTACTAATGATAAAGACGAAACGGTGATGATGATAACAATAGTAAAGATAATGACGAGCGACGTGCTAGGGAATACGACAATTTCTAATAAACCGAACGACACTAATGAGTAATAATAGTAATAGTTTTGGTTAACACTAGAACAATAATCGTAGTACGTTCGAGGTTTTTTCGTGAGATTACGGAGAAATGATAACGACCGAGTGTGATCGATAACGGTATCAGCCTGGCCTTCGTGATAACAGTCAGTGTGCACCGCCGCCGATGACGATCAGCTGCTGCGCGCCGACGATGTTCGTGGCTGGGCGTCCACATTACGGCGGACGAGTCGACCCGGACAAACGGGATGGAAAAAAAAAATTTAAGAAAACGTTCCAAGACCAACACGTTTCGGATTCGGTTTTGTTGACTTTTTCCCCGACGTTTTTTTTTTTAATATTTCTGCGCTCCCGAGATAGGTATCGATTGGTCAACCCGTCGCACGGTACCTAACTCATAGGATGGCGCGAAATGAGCAATGCAAAACCGAAACGTTATGGCTTAACCCAATGACGTGATTGTGAGGGGAGGAGGCAAGTTCCCCACCCGATAATTTTGAGAGGCCCAAAGGTATCATTTTGCCCAGTGCCGGCGCGAAGGGTGTGCAGAAAGTGCAATCGCACAGGGCCTCGCGCTTCTATTTTGTAGTATATTCAAATCCGGGGCCTCGCGATTGTAATTCGCACGGGGCCCCGCAAATCATAGCGCCGGCACTGATTTTTCCCCCTACCAGATAATCCAACAATTCATATATTTGAATTATCATTAGTTAAGAAATAATGTAATATATTATTTAACGTATTATAAGATAACTAAGAGGGCTTACGATTTTGATCATGGTTAATAAATTATTTTGCCTCCCCTAGATTTTTTCCCAATTACAACACTGGCTTAACCAATTCGTATTCGTTATAGGTAACGTTGTGCGTTAAACCAACGGGGGTAGATATTCGGTAAAAAACAACAATTGCAAATGTTCCCGTTGATACACGCGATGCTGACGATTCTGTGAAGTCATAGGGGTGTGCATGGGGGTCGCGGGTGTGCCCCTTCCCCCTCCCCTAGAAATTTCGAAGTTACGATTTGTCTAAAGGTAAGACGCCCGTATTTTGACTGATGTTGCTCATAAAAAAATGTGATTTATTCTAAAAGGTTTGCTAAAAAAAAAATGTTTCGTAATAGAGAATATAAAACAAAATGTTCTAAATGTTCGTACAAAAATTTCTTACGATAATGCAACAGCTATACGATCGACACTACAGAAGTACAAATCGTAAATAATTGACAGTGCCGTATCTAGGAAACTTGACGCCCGGGGCTAATAAAAATGCATCGCCCTTACGCGGGTGGAAGTATGGGGTATATTTATGACTTTTTTTATTTTTCGTTAACTTAGTATCGCCCCTATACCAACAGCACCTGGGATAAGCACACCCATTTGCTCGAATCCAACACTGATGAACGAAGCTATCTGAGAAAAATACAAGATTTAGGGAAAACATATTGATTGGAACTAAAATAACGCAATATTAAATTAAATATTAGAGTTACGTTTATTTAAGAATTAAAACATTATAGTTTATTAAATATACCAACATGTTTTATTAGTATAAAGCCTACAAGTATTGTAGGCAACCTCTAAAATACAGATCTGCACACGCCTATGTGTGAAACTTTTCTTTTTGTATTTTTCATGAAAAATATTTATAATCCGGACAAATGTGGCTGAATTTGAACTCGAGATCCAATGGCATGGTATATACTTGAAGAATAAAAAGCTATCCATTAGATAGGACTTTTTTTGTCTTAAGAAACTTAAGAAACATAATCAAACAAATCGCTATAAGCTCGATCGGTTAATAATACTTTGTATTTTGTTATTTTAAAACACTGTAAAGTGCTGGTGAAGGTTCTTCGTTTGAATTAAAATAAAATAAATAAAATTAACAAACATGTTAGTTAACAAAGAACGTATAATGTTTTGATACAAAATTATATTTGGAACGCCGAAGGCGGGAGCGGTATATTAGCTTCTGCATACACTGAGCAAAAAGTCTGCACACGCCAATGTTATATATTTATACAGTTCCAATCTAATTATTATTATTTTTCCTCCGCATCGTGCTAGTTTTTTCATTACGGTGGAATTAAAAATAAAAATCGTTTAATTTATATTTTATAATTTCAGTTTGATGATAAAGTGTTCGTTTGAAAAAGACAAATTATATTACTTGTGAATACCTAATCTGCGTTACTTTTACTTCAATTAAAACTTGTCTTGTATAGCTTATAATTTATTTACGACCTACATTGTAAATTTTTAACACTCGATTAGTGATGAAATCGTTCTGTAAGTATTTAATATAATTTTAAAAACCTTGTATCTTTTTAAGTTGAATTTTAATATTATTTTTTACGAAACAATGAGACTGGATTCGGGGGCTTTATATATATATATATATATATATATTATAATCAAATATTTCATTATATTTCATTTTAAATTATTTTTATTTTGGAACCAAGTTGGTTCATTTTATTTTCATCATTCAGTAATGGTTTACTGATAAAAAAACTTGTGTTATACTCGAACATATATAATATTAATGTTATATTATTATATTTTCGGCTTCCAGCAGCCACCACGCAGTTGCATTCATTACGTGACAAATATATGAGTTCGTGCCAAGGATATTATACTACATAAATGGTATATTATAATACAATAGTACCTGTGTGATTGTTAACAGACGAAAACCATAAGTCTTGTCATACGGTTCTCCCCCGAGCCCCCTTCTACCGACATATTTTGTTATGTGCAACGAGTGATTTCAAAATACGTTTTGATTTCGCGTGTTACGACGTGCGTTTTTACCTTCAATTTTGTTTTTATTATTCACCTTGGATCAATGGTATTCTCTTGTTTAACGGATGTTGTGCTCGCTAAACCGTGTGCATTATAATAATGGTTAATTTATCCGTACGATAATTAATTTTTATTTTTACTTTTCTTTTTCGCAAAGCTTCATATTCTAAGATTACTTGATTATATGTGAAAATAAAAGCGTACCTGTCTTACGCATCGTATTGATAGCAAACACTACCCGCTTTATTATAATAATATAATTGATTACTAACAGAAAAAATTTGAATAATGTAACAGTTCTTATAAAATGCAACGTATACAGTATATAAAATAATTGGAAAGTCAATCACTATAACCCATGGTGTATAGGGATTATTCGAGTAGACATTTTTTTCGTATAATATTTAAGTAATGCTCTATTGATTAAAATATATATATATTCATCAAAACACGTTAAAAAAATATCATAACAGAATAAAAATAAAAAAAAATTAACATTTTTTATGTCTTTTAAGCCATAAGTCATAGAAAAAGATAAACCATTGCTCAAATATTTATAATAAATTTATACTAAATTATGAGTTGTGGCGACCGATTTATCAATTAATTAACATACAATACATCTCATACTTATTATTACAGAAATATATTACATAATTTTCTTAAGGGTATTCAAAATGAATCGATGTTATCTTTGTTTTTCATAAATACAATGTAGTAAAAACTACCTACTTTTTGAATCATCAGTATGATTCACATATTGAAGTGATAAAAATCCTGAAACAATAAAAATGTAAATTAATTTTAAATCGATTGGGCCACTTTTTCAAATGTATTCCTTCAACATCCACAAATCGTATTTTAATATGTACTATAGTTAATAGTTTCGAAATTGTAACACAATTAAAATAAATTGACCTGATCAATTTCAAGTATGCTCCATGCCGATTTTTGTTCTGTTCATTTCCTTATTATTTCAGTAACAGATGGATCAGAAATGGGTTGTTATTACTAAAGGACACGCGTGAAAAACGAAGACCACTCACATATCAGTTTCGAATACACTTAATCTAATTTTGTATTTTTCAGAACTCGCAGCAGTTCTGCGTGTTGAACTAAAAATTGAACAATCGAACGGACATTCGCATTTCGCGATTTCCGTGACCACGCGTTTGTGTTAAAAAATAAAATTAAACGTACGAACATTGCAAACGTTTCGGATTTAATATTAACGTAAACGGTTTCGAGGGATAAACGACCGTAACGTTCCGTAGACACAATTTGTTTTTTCCAGATTGTTATCGGTTTTCGTGTAGATGCACGGGCGTATACGTGTATTTCCCAAAAGGCGAACTGCAGGGTATTTCGTTGGGTTCGGCCCATGACCTAAATAATAGAAACGGTCCGTTGAAACAGCGCCCAACCCCGGCGTTTTCCATCAGGTTGTATGTACGTACACCGTTGAACCGGGAAATTATCCATCGCAAACACCGTCATTGCACACGGTAAGAATAATGTGCGATCGCTCTTTTCGAGCACACGCGCAAACGGTAACCGTATACTTCGAAGTAATGTAACCGCCTGATTCGGTTCTAATCATAACTTCTGATCAAATCGTCGGAAATCGGACACGGGCCGATGCCGGTCCATATTGCTGGGGTCATTTTTCGTTCTCTTGGACGAATTATTGAACTGTTGACAATAGTCACACACGTATTATATTTTAGGTAGACATATCATTACCAACGAAAACGATTCACGGGAACTATTTTTGCCTTAACGAAAAGCAACGAAACTATTGACGTTGATTAAAGTTATTGGCACGGAAAATAGTCAAGAAAGTCGACTCGAAATAAACTTTTCTCGAATAAGGAAATTAAAACGATAAATATATAACAAAACATACGCATTATCATAAGTAAATAGTTACTATCATAAATCATTTTTCATGTTGAACCATGAACGTTTTCAAAATATAAAATACTAATTTTAGAGTTTATAAACATAATAATTATTTTCGATACGAGTTCAATACATTTAATTCGTACAATCAATTTTAAAGTGTTACCATCGAATGTTAATTAGAAAATTTGTTGTACCTTGAACCTGTGTTGTATTGTATTAATGTTTGAAGTATGACATATATGTAATGTATTTTGACGAACAATTGTTTTATGAACACTTAAGGTACGAAAATACAATAGGTACCTAGCTAAATATAGTACTTATATGAAACCTACAAATATCAAAGCTGTTCTCGATTTATCGATGCAATTATAAT